AGTACATAGTGTTGGTGGTGGGGCTATTATTCTATGGACCTGCAGAGCTATGACAGCTAGGTAAGTCTCCATGGCAGAAGACGAGTCTCAGAGTCTATTGTAGGTTGGGGGGTCAGGGGGTGTCATCATTCTATGTATGTATACCATTGTATGACAGCTGGGAAGTCGGAGAGTAAGCAGACAATAAGCTCGGAGTTGGAAGTGTTCACCTTCCTGTACGATGGTGGTGGTATTGGGAGGGGGGCGCAGGGTAAGTCTCCCGGGCAGACAATAAGCTCGGAGTTGGAAGTGTTCACCTTCCTGTACGATGGTGGTGGTATTGGGAGGGGGGCGCAGGGTAAGTCTCCCGGGCAGACAATAAGCTCGGAGTTGGAAGTGTTCACCTTCCTGTACGATGGTGGTGGTATTGGGAGGGGGGCGCAGGGTAAGTCTCCCGGGCAGACAATAAGCTCGGAGTTGGAAGTGTTCACCTTCCTGTACGATGGTGGTGGTATTGGGAGGGGGGCGCAGGGTAAGTCTCCCGGGCAGACAATAAGCTCGGAGTTGGAAGTGTTCACCTTCCTGTACGATGGTGGTGGTATTGGGAGGGGGGCGCAGGGTAAGTCTCCCGGGCAGACAATAAGCTCGGAGTTGGAAGTGTTCACCTTCCTGTACGATGGTGGTGGTATTGGGAGGGGGGCGCAGGGTAAGTCTCCCGGGCAGACAATAAGCTCGGAGTTGGAAGTGTTCACCTTCCTGTACGATGGTGGTGGTATTGGGAGGGGGGCGCAGGGTAAGTCTCCCGGGCAGACAATAAGCTCGGAGTTGGAAGTGTTCACCTTCCTGTACGATGGTGGTGGTATTGGGAGGGGGGCGCAGGGTAAGTCTCCCGGGCAGACAATAAGCTCGGAGTTGGAAGTGTTCACCTTCCTGTACGATGGTGGTGGTATTGGGAGGGGGGCGCAGGGTAAGTCTCCCGGGCAGACAATAAGCTCGGAGTTGGAAGTGTTCACCTTCCTGTACGATGGTGGTGGTATTGGGAGGGGGGCGCAGGGTAAGTCTCCCGGGCAGACAATAAGCTTGGAGTAGGGAACACTCACCTTCCTGTAGGCGTCACAGACGAGGATCATCTCCTGCAGCAGTTTCCCGTCCGGGGTTGTCTTGGGGACGATCTCCCAGAAGACGAGCAGAAGCTTCTTGATGGTGTGGTCCTGGAGGGGCAGGACGAAGCGGATGATGGTCATCAGGAGCCCCGGGAGCTTCTCTCCGTTCAGAATCATAATGATGACTTTCTTCAGAGCCTCCGTCTTGGACTTCACGTCCCCCTTCTCTGTGGAGAAGAAGCAGCAAACATGGAGATCGGTGCCGGAGCGGGAGAGTAGAGATAATGTGTCTCTAGTATCCCCTCCCAGCAATCTACAGACAACAGATCTCATTGTGTCCGAGGAAGATGACACTTTATGTCTATGAACCTGAACCATTCAGGGCCCATTCACACCGTCACACTGATATTAACTATGTGCTGCATAAAAGATAAACAATGAGCCTAATGCACAGCAGCTGCAATAATGCAACGCAGTGTGGGCAGGGCCTCAATGTGTCAGGACCACACTGATGTCAGGTGACCTCTCAGAGCCAATGTCCTTAAGAGCTGGACATCCTCTGACACCATGTGACCTCTCAGAGCCAATGTCCTGATAGCTGGACATCCTCGGACACCATGTGACCTCTCAGAGCCAATGTCCTGGGAGCTGGACATCCTCTGACACCATGTGATCTCTCAGAGCCAATGTCCTGATAGCTGGACATCCTCGGACACCATGTGATCTCTCAGAGCCATTGTCCTGAGAGCTGGACATCCTCGGACACCATGTGACCCCTCAGAGCCAACGTCCTGAGAGCTGGACATCCTCTGACACCATGTGACCCTCTCAGAGCCAATGTCCTGAGAGCTGGACATCCTCTGACACCATGTGACCCTCTCAGAGCCCTCCCCCCGCAGAAGGTGGCCCCCTTACCCAGGTCAGTCTTCAGGCTGATCTCAGACTGAGGCTCCGAGTCCATGGGGACATTGATGAGGGTGTAACACACGTTCTCTGCCGCCGTCATGGCTGCCGCTTCTCAATGCCGTCCGATAACGTTCAGTGTGCGGCAGGTCGGTGGCCCTGGAAGACAAGCAACAGTCTCTAACAATCCAATATAACACAGATGTACTCTCTAGCAGTTTCTTGTAGCACCATACTGCGTTCTGACAGCTGAATTCTCAAAATCTCTCTACTAACACATCAGCACATTCTGGCGACTTGTTGGTAGTCTCTAGCACTTTTTTGGTACACGTCTGCAGTGTCTAGCAGTCTTGGCAGTCTACTATAACACGCTGGAAGTCACTAGCCATCCACTAAATCACATCAATAGTCTCTAGCAGTTTCTTGGCACATGTCAATAGTCTCTAGCAGTCTAATATAACACTTCAGTAGTCTCTACAAGTTCATTGTCACACAGCGGCCTTCTCCAGTCATGACACCGGTCTGAATCCTGACAGTCCCTTGTTATTTAGCAGCAGTCTCCGGGTCTCTGAAATCTAATGTCACCTCCGGGGACCTGGAACTGCCCGACCCGAAGGGCCCTCAATGCTGCTATTCCAGTGGGACGAGGGCCCCAGGGAGGAGGGATGATGAGGAAATACACTCAGTACACCAACGGAGGTTAGGGGCCCCGGAGAAGGAATCAAGGCGGATAAAGGCGAGGGGGCTCTGGCCCTGTACTGTACCTGCTCCCGCCCGGTGTCAGCAGGAATCGGTTCGGTGACGTGGAAGAACTCCGGACACATCGACTGTGCGGAACTCCGCCCACCCAGCGCTGGAAGTTGCGTCACTCCGGAACGCAAAAGCCGGAACTGGAAGCACACTGAAACGCAAGGAACCGGATTTCCGCGTCAGCTGACCGGAAGTTGATTGCTAAGCCACTTCAAGAGAATCTTGGGAGATGCTGAAACCAACCCTGGGGTGGGCTCTGTGGTGACTGACTACCAGATGGTCCAATCAGATCCTCGGAGAATAACATTTTACAGCTGATTGGTCACTACGAAAAGAGATTTACTAGAAGACCTGAGCGATGTCATTTTCCAACATTTGGAAGAAATTCGTGTTTTTGTACACCATCTGTATTTTTGTTTTTATATGTGCAATTTTTTGGGCTTGATATTCATTTTATAGAACTTTAATATTTAAAGTTGCATGTTGGGGATCAGCAGACATTGTCCTCATACAAGAGTCCTGTGTATTCTTCCTGATTCTCGGTGAGCTTTGTGTATTTCTTCCAGATCTGTGCAGTAATCCAGTGTGAGACTTGGAGCTTCCTGTAATAAAGACCGGTCACTGCTGCTCTCTCTCCTTGTGCAGGGTGACTGGTCTTGTTTCCGCCGCCTCCTATAATAAAGACCGCTCACTGCTGCTCTCCTTGTGCAGGGTGACTGGTCTTGTCTCTGCCCCCTCCTGTAATAAAGACTGCTCACCGCTGCTCTCTCTCCTTGTGCAGGGTGACTGGTCTTGTCTCCGCCCCCTCCTGTAAGAAAGACCGCTCACTGCTGCTCTCTCTTCTTGTGCAGGGTGACTGGTCTTGTCTCCGCCCCCCTCCTGTAATAAAGACTGGTCACTGCCGCTCTCTCTCCTTGTGCAGGATGACTGGTCTTGTCTCCGCCCCCTCCTGCTGTTCTGCAGCAGTTCCACTGCACAGCTGAGCAAAATGGCGGAGAATAATATTTTTGACTAATAAATACAATTTTCCAATGAAAATTGAGGCGCTCGTCCACCAAAACATTGCATTGTAGGTTCCGACACTGAATTGATAGAGGTTCAGACACCTTTGTCCAGCGCTGCCAGGTGTGCCCACAGTTAAAATGGCCGCTGATACTCTGTCCCCACCTTCTCCATCAGACTCAGCGCTCTGCATCCACATTCACTTCCACTGCGAGTGCTAAGTTATCAGTGCTGAGCACAGGGCAGCCATCAGGGGCGTACGGCCGTTACTCATATAAGGGGCCTGGGGGGCCCACCCGGGTCCCTTACATGACTATCAGCCGACGGTGAAGGGCGAGGAGGTGGAGGCCTGGCCCTAGCAGCGCAGGGCCCCAGCATTGCCGCTCCAGCAGGTTCGAGACAAGCTGCATCTATGGTGGGCTCTGCAGGGTCACTCTCAGGTGGGTCCTGCGTCCAGTGCGTCGCTAAGCCCTGCGTCCAGCTCGTCACTAAGCCCGTGTCCAGCAGCGGGGGGGGCCCGGCCTAAAGCGGTGTAAAATTTCTGACGGCTGACCTGGCTGAGCACGGACTTGCAGCACAACGTTCAGCGGCGGTTTGCTACCTCAGCGCTCGCAGCAGCTGAGACAGCTGAACACACCCAAAGCAATAGAATCGGGTGGTGGGCACACAGCAAAACAAACCCCAACAAGGCCAGAAAGCAAAATATAGCAGCCTGTAGCACCTTCTGGCCAAAACTGGCAGCCGCAGGAGACCCGACATCCACCTGATAGAACTTGGACTGCATGCAAACAGAAGGCCAGGCGGCGGCCTCGCAAATCTGCAACGTAGAGGCCAAATGCCAAAAAGCCCAGGAGGCACCAACGGCTCTAGTGGAATGAGCCTGGGAGTCGGGGCTTTAGCAGAATAGACCTGTCTGATCTACCAAGAAATGGAGGAGCAGGACGCAGGGAGCCCCCAGAGAGGTCCGTCACAGAGGACAAAGGGGCAATCGGATTGAGTGAGGCCGTAGCTGAGAGATAAACTCAGAAGGCCCGAACCACATCCAAACAATGGAGGGCAACCTCCTTAGGATGGTTCAGAGATGAGCAAAAGGAAGGACAACGTCCCGATTAAAGTGAAAGGAAGACGTCACCTTAGGCATAAAGCAATCCTCCGGCCTAAACACAACCTCATCCTTGTGAAGCATGAGGAACAATTCCTTGCATTAGTGCTGCCAATGTTGAAACTCTCCTAGCGGAGGCGACAAGGAAATCGTGAGGACCGTCAGATATATCTCATGGGATCAATAGGGGGCTTGCTGGAGAGACAAAGCACAAGTTTCAGATCTTATGGTGTGACTGGAGGACATCTAAGGGGGGGCCACTTGAGTGAGCCCCTGTACATAGGCCTATACAAAGTAATGAGAGACCACGGCAAGAGAATGGGTAATATCTGCCCCTTGAGAATGCACGGGGGCTAAATGCTGATCCGGTCCCGTCTGCAGGAAGGCCAGAATGCGTCCCACAGAGTACTTGTGAGGATGAAAGTCCCTCCTGACAGAGTAAGCCTTCCAGGTGTGGTGGTACACTTTGCAAGAGGTGAACTTCCTGGCATGCAAGAGGGTAGGGATGACCCATCAGACACCGCTCTGACCCTCGGGACCTGGGCTTCAACAGCCAAGTCATCAAATCCAGTGACCAAGAAGCTGAACAGCATACCGAAGCCTGAGATAGACGGTCAGGGAGGGTCCATGGAGAGTCTGCTAGAAGCCAGGGGATGTCCATGTACCAGACTCTTCTGGGCCAGTTGGGAGCCTCAAGGATCACTGAAATGCCCTCTGCCTCCATCGTTCGAGCAGAAGAGGAAGGGTCGTCAAGGGAGGAAAGGCACGGATGAGGGAAAACTGATCCCACGGAGTCACCAGAGCAACCACCGCGAAGGCTCATGGGTCCCGGGACCAGGAGACAAAGAATGGACCGTGCATGGTGGTTAAGGCCGGTCATGAAGTTCTGCCCAGGGCATGATCAGGTTGCACTATGTGCCAAGGTGGGCGTCTGACACAGGATCCCGTGCCTGAAGTTACATTACAAGCCGGCCCCACATCCTCCATCTGGTGGGGCGTCCATGTACGCTCCCCAAAAGCTGTAGCCACGGGATATCGATCCAAAAGCTGGAAAATTGCCACCATGGCCGGACGCAGCATGAGAGAGCTTCTTCAAGGAATCACAGGAAGAGAGGTGACATCATCATCAGTAGAGGGAAGACCTCCATCATCTAAGGCAGTGGTGGCGAACCTTGGCACTCCAGCTGTTTTGGAACTACAAGTCCCATGAGGCATTGCAAGGCTCCGACAGCCACAGACATAACTCCCAGAGGCAGATGCATGTTGGGATTTGTAGTTTTGGCACAGCTGGAGTGCAAAGGTTCGCCACCACTGATCTAAGGATTTCCTGAAGGGGGAGGGGTTATATGGGCTCCTTGGAGGGGGCGTCACCTGACGATACCTGAACATTACCCAGTTGTCTTGAATCTGCCTGTGATCTGTACAGTAAAGAGCGTCAGTAGGAAATGATGGGATTCAAAGAATCATTTACAATATTGCTATTGTGATGGAGTGTGTTTAGAAAGGACTCAGATATATATACTTAATAAATATTTATTTAATTATAATAAAAAAATCCCATAGTTCAATATAAAACAATCCACTTGTAGTAACATTCATATAGTTCTCCAGATGTCAGTATACTGTCTCTAACGGCTATTGCTGATTCATATACTTAAAATCCATATTACAAAGTAGTACATTCATATAACTTTTACATATTCCATATATTCTTAACAAGTATATCATTATTTGATGAGTCCCCTACGCGTTACGCCCACAACGGCTTCTTCAGGGGGGTATATTTGTTTTGTTTGTTTGTATATCGATTTTCAGCAATATACTGAACAATCTAATGGTAAAATGATCAAATATATGCACTATGGATGAATGAGTGTTGATGGACAAACAAATCTATGGAAACAAGATATCCCATGTTTGAATATCAATGTGAACTTACTATTGACAAATGAAGAATAACGAATATAATATATTGACTAATGATAAATAAGGAACTGTATGTACAAGTAGAAAATAGAAATAATTGAAGATTTTTTTAGATACAATATACGATATGCTGATTTTTGATCTCATGGTTGAATACTGACTGATATTGTATTATATGTGTGTTTTTCCTCAAAAAGACAGATTATTGCTGAAAATCGATATACAAACAAACAAAACAAATATACCCCCCTGAAGAAGCCGTTGTGGGCGTAACGCGTAGGGGACTCATCAAATAATGATATACTTGTTAAGAATATATGGAATATGTAAAAGTTATATGAATGTACTACTTTGTAATATGGATTTTAAGTATATGAATCAGCAATAGCCGTTAGAGACAGTATACTGACATCTGGAGAACTATATGAATGTTACTACAAGTGGATTGTTTTATATTGAACTATGGGATTTTTTTATTATAATTAAATAAATATTTATTAAGTATTCCGGGATAGAGCACTCCGCCTCGGTATCTGCAGGCCGCAAGCAGGTGAGGAACCACAACAGCGCTGGCTGGCTGGGAATAGCTGACCTGCAGAGTGTTTCGTATCTTTCTTTCCTCTCCTCACAACAAACCAGAACGTTAAAGGTTTTCTTTCCTCCCAGGAAGCGCGCGCCGGCCCAGCCGTCCATTAGAGGGCGACACGGCTCCGGCCATCGCAGCTCTCCGACGTCCTTCCCCGCCCCGGGCACAGCGCCACACCAGATGTTTGTCGTGGAAGCTGCCCGTGTCGGGTTCAGAGGACAAGCTCATCTGGATGTTTTAGAAGGGATGTGGCCGATCCCGCCGGCCGTATTGTTTCCCCTCCGAGAGGTAATTACAGAACAATCGGACTCGCTGCCAAAACTTCCCATCCGGAACCGCTTCCTTCCAGCGGAGTCCCGAGGAGACGTCCGGCCACAAGAAGCGAGCGCTAAAATTACAAGGCGACTCCGGGATAATGACCGGCCCGACCCCGAAATACGGGCCAAGGGGGGGAACCACCCAGGATGTAGAAGGTGCACAAGATCAGGAAACATTGTACATAGTGCC